TGTTGAGAAATTTTTGTTGTCTTGTTTCTGCCAGGTAAACTACAAGCAAAGAATTATACCCCTCTATCAAACTCTGAGTGAATTAGTCATTGTTATGCATTAATATACTTCCCATACCTTATACGATTTCTGAGCAGTGGTGGAACTTTGAGGCTGTTCTGGCTTTTTTTTTTATCACCTTGATTTTTTTTCCCCACCTATCTTCTATAAAGATGGAGAGGGAGGCCTGGGCCGTGGCTGAGGAAGCTATTCACAGCACCATCTGCTTCAGCTGTGCAGTTGTTTCTCTGAGCTTATCCCCGGTATTGTGGACCATTCCACAGGTGCACAAAATACAGGACAAGGTCCTAACTGCTTTTTAAACCAAACTAAATTCATCTCTTACAAAGAGTGCATCCAGAGTGGCTAGAATGGCTGTTTCATAGGTCTGGATGGAAAGTCATTTAACTGCCAGCCAAGTATTTCCAGCTCCGTGATTGTGATAAAACTGTATAGGAAGGTTGTTTGGAAAATGAAGTACTAGAAAGAATAGAAATGTTGGCTGGAAGGGACTGCTGAAAGTCATCTAGTCAAATCTCCCATTTGAAGCGGGCTGTTGTCCATGTGAAGTCTGGTCTTGGAAACCACCAGGGATGGAGCTTCCACAGGTTTCCCATGCAACCTAACCCAGTGTTGCTCCAACTTCCTTGTGAAGTTTTCTTGATGTCCAGCATGAACTTTCTTCACCATGGCTGGGGGGTGGTGCTCTCTTTTTTTTACCCGCCCCACTCATTATTTCCTCCCTGCCACAGCCAAGAATTGTTTGGCTCTGCTGTCTTGGCCAGTTCCCTATCCTGCAGCTGTGTCCTGCAGTTTGATTGCCTGTTGGACTCCTCTTACCAGCCGGAGCAGCCCCAGCTCTGCCAGCCTCTTCTCGTGGCCATATGTCCTAGGCCCTGACTAATGGGGCAGCATTCCAGTGACCTTCATGACTTTGCATCATCTCTTTTGGGCTGTGAGCCCAAAATAGGCCAGTTCAGGGCAAGATTTGCTGCGTTATGGTAAGGAGGAGAACAAAAATTCAACTTGATATACTGGATCTTGCTGTGATGGAGTTAATTTTCTTCATAGTGACCTATATGGTGCTGTGTTTTGGATTTGTGTCCAAAGCAGTGTTGCTAACACACTGATGTTTTAGCTATTGCTCAACCATGCTTGCATGCCAGGGCTTTCTCTGCTTCTCCCTTCTGGCACCCAGCGAGTGGGTTGGTGATAGGCAAAGAGCTGGGAAGGTGGACAGCTGGCCTCAACTGACCACAGAGATATTCCACACCATATAACATTATGCTCAGGAATAAAAATGGGATGGGGTATGGAGGTGTTTCGGGGGGTCCATTGCTTGAGGACTATCTGGGCATCAGTTGACTGGTAGTGATTGCTTTTGCGTCACTTATGTTTCTTTGTTTTGTTGTCATTTTTTTTCCCTTTTATCTTTTAAACTGTGTTCAACTCAACCTGCCAATCTTCTCACTGTTGCTCTTCTGATTCTCTCCCCTATCCCACTGTGGGGAGCAGTGAGTGAGCAGCTGTGAGGTGCTTAGCTGCCATCCAGGGTGACTCCACCACAGTCCTTTTAGACACCTGCTATGAGAGACCAAAAGCTCAAGATAATGCGACATTTGGCCAGAGTGCACTAGAGGGAACTTATTATACCTGTTTAGGGATTGTTGGTCACAGTGTTGACTGAGTTATTCCTGAAGCAGGTGTATTTGTTCCCTTACCCACTCTATGTCATGCACCCTCTCTTGCTGTACATCAAATCTGAGAGCATGTTAAGGGCTGGGTTTGGCTTTTGCAGTTTGCTGCGCCATGTAGCATTCAGGTGTGTTTTGCCTGGAAGAACTGTGATGAAAGCACTGGCCCTGAGCCTAATCTGGTATTTGGGCCCTGCATTGCTGCTGTCCCAGTACTTCGGGAACCATCTCGTGGAGACAATTAACAATTACACCTTTTTTCTTTTCTCATCTGAGAGACAGTTTGTGGAGGAAACAAAGAACGGCTCCTTACCCTTCATCTCCTGCAATGTAGTTGCTTTCCACCTTATTACAATGACTTCAGTATTTTGAATATCCCCAGGTAATCAGAATGCTCACGTTGGTGTGTCTCAAGAATGTTTCCAGCTTTTCCTAAGGCTAAATGACTATTTAGGAATATCACACAGTGATGTGCCTTGAGGCAGTGTGGTCATGGGTGTCAAGGTGTGTGAAAGCATATAGGCATGTTTCTAGAACTGTTCTTACCTCTGAAGTTGCAGAACTTGACCCCCAGACAAGTGCAGGATCCTGATAAAGTGACAGAACATTTGAGAAAAGAATGCCCTGGCTATATGAAAGGGACACAACTTCTTTTCTTGTGCTGGGCCTGGCATACGCCTGCTGAATGGCGGAGAGAGGGTCTCTGGATCTGAGGACACAAACAGGCACCGTGCCCAAGCCAGAGACCCAACTATTAAGTCTATCAGTCACCTCCCATAGTGAAGAAGAACAGTGAAAGCAGAAGTCAGCTCATGCAGACAGGGAGAAAGAAGTTTCTCTTAGGAGAGAGCAGGAGGAGGAATTGGAGAGGCTGCCATTGTGCAGCAGAGCAGGCAAAAGAACAGGAGGGGAAAGAGACAGAAATT